AGTTCAAGCAGCAATTTCTCGAAAACTAGAAGCTGCGTTTCGCAGAAACTTCTNAATTTTGTATCAGGAGCAAATGACCATGTAGGAGGTGGCACGACAAGGCCACGACTCCAGCCGTTCTCCTGATACATAAGTTTTGCGACAGAACTTCAAGCGGCAATTTGTCGAAAACGAGAACCTGCCAGTCGCTGAAATTTCGAATTTTGTACCAGGAGCGCATGACCATGTAGGAGGTGCCACGTCAAGGCCCCGCCTCCAGCCGTTCCGCTGATACATAGGTTTTTCGACAGAAATTCAAGCGACAATTTCTCGAAAACTAGAAGCTGTGCTTCGCTGAAATTTCGAATTTCGTATCAGGAGCAAATGACCATGTAGGAGGTGGCACGACAAGGCCACGACTCCAGCCGTTCTCCTGATACATAAGTCTTTCGACAGAAATTCAAGCAGCAATTTCTCAAAAACTAGAGGCTGCCTTTCACTGAAATTTCGAATTTTGTACCAGGAGCACATGACCATGCAGGAGGTGGCATGACAGGGCTCCAGCTTCAGCCGTGCAACTGATACATAGCTTTTTCGACAGAAATTCAAGCAGTAATTTCTCGAAAACTAGAAGCTGTGTTTCGCAAAAATTTCTAATTTTGTATCAGGAGCAAATGACCATGTAGGAGGTGGCACGACAAGGCCACGACTCCAGCCGTTCTCCTGATACATAAGTTCTTCGACAGAACTTCAAGCGGCAATTTCTCAAAAACTAGAAGCTGCCTTTCGCTGAAATTTCGAATTTTGTATCAGGAGCAAATAATTATGAAGGAGGTGGCACTACAATGCCACGACTCCAGCCGTTCTCCTGATACGTAAGTCTTTCGACAGAAATTCAAGCAGCAATTTCTCAAAAACTAGAGGCTGCCTTTTGCTGAAATTTCGAATTTTGTACCAGGAGCACATGACCATGCAGGAGGTGGCATGACAAGACTCCAGCTTCGGCCGTTCAACTGATACATAGCTTTTTCGACAGAAATTCAAGCAGCAATTTCTCGAAAACTAGAAGCTGCGTTTCGCAGAAATTTCGAATTTTGTATCAGGAGCAAATGACCATGTAGGAGGTCGCACGACAAGGCCACGACTCCAGCCGTTCTCCTGATACATTAGTTTCTCGACAGAAATTCAAGCGGCAATTTGTCGAAAACGAGAACCTGCCAGTCGCTGAAATTTCGAATTTTGTACCAGGAGCGCATGACCATGTAGGAGGTGCCACGACAAGGCCCCGCCTCCAGCCGTTCCGCTGACNACATAGGTTTTTCGACAGAAATTCAAGCGACAATTTCTCGAAAACTAGAAGCTGTGTTTCGCTGAAATTTCGAATTTTGTACCAGGAGCACATGACCATGTAGGAGGTGGCATGACAAGGCTCCAGCTTCAGCCGTTCAACTGATACATAGCTTTTTCGACAGAAATTCAAGCAGCAATTTCTCGAAAACTAGAATCTGTGTTTCGCTGAAATTTCGAATTTTTTATCAGGAGCAAATGACCATGCTGGAGGTGGCACGACAAAGCCACGACTCCAGCCGTTCTCCTGATACATAAGGCTTTCGACAGAAATTCAAGCGGCAATTTGTCGAAAACGAGAAATTGCCAGTCGATGAAATTTCGAATTTTGTACCAGGAGCACATGACCATGTAGGAGGTACCACGACAGGGCCCCGCCTCCAGCCGTTCCGCTGACACATAGGTTTTTCGACAGAAATTCTAGCGACAATTTCTCGAAAACTAGAAGCTGTGTTTCGCTGAAATTTCGAATTTTGTATCAGGAGCAAATGACCATGTAGGAGGTGGCACGACAAGGCCACGACTCCAGCGGTTCTCCTGATACATAAGGTTTTCGACAGAAGTTCAAACGGCAATTTTTCAAAAACTAGAAGCTGCCTTTCGCTGAAATTTCGAATTTTGTATCAGGAGCAAATGACCATGTAGGAGGTGGCACGACAAGGCCACGACTCCAGCCGTTCTCCTGATACATAAGTTTTTCGACAGAAGTTCAAGCGGCAATTTTTCAAAAACTAGAAGCTGCCTTTCGCTGAAATTTCGAATTTTGTATCAGGAGCAAATGACCATGTAGGAGGTGGCACGACAAGGCCACGACTCCAGCCGTTCTCCTGATACATAAATTTTTCGACAGAATTTCAAGCGGCAAATTCTCGAAAACTAGAAGCTGCCTTTCGCTGAAATTTCGAATTTTGTATCAGGAGCAAATAGTTATGAAGGAAGTGGCACTACAAGACCACGACTCCAGCCGTTCTCCTGATACATAAGTCTTTCGACTGAAATTCAAGCAGCAATTTCTCAAAAACTAGAGGCTGCCTTTTGCTGATATTTCGAATTTTGTACCAGGAGCACATGACCATGCAGGAGGTGGCATGACAAGGCTCGAGCTTCAGCCGTTCAATTGATACATAGCTTTTTCGACAGAAATTCAAGCAGCAATTTCTCGAAAACTAGAAGCTGTGTTTCGCTGAAATTTCGAATTTTGTACCAGGAGCACATGACCATCGAGGAGGTGGCGCGATAAGTCCCCGCCTCCAGCCATGCTCCTGATACACAGGTTTTTCGAAAGAAATTCGAGCGGCAATATCTCGAGAACCAGGATGTGTGTTTCGCTGAAGTTTCGAATTTATCAGGATCATTAGGGGACACGAGCCAGGTAGCACCATAAATTATAGAATAAAAATGTCGCCTTCAACGTCTTGGACCCTGGGACGCTGTACCCTCAAGGCAATGAGGTAATTGTTAAAAATAACTGCCGTGACCGTGCAGTTCCCAGCCCCCCCCCCCCCCGCCTCCTGCCGCTCTCCTGATGGATAAGTTTTTCAACAGAAATTCGTGCTGCAATATGTCGAAAACCAGAATGTGTGTTTCGCTGTAATTTCGAATTTTGTATCAGGAGCACATGACCATCGAGGAGGTGGCGCGTTAAGGCCCCGCCTCCAGCCATGCTTCTGATACACAGGTTTTTCGAAAGAAATTCGAGCGGCAATATCTCGAGAACCAGGATGTGTGTTTCGCTGAAATTTCGAATTTTATTTCAGGATCATGTAAGGGTCACGGCCCAGGTAGCTCCATAAATTATAAAATAAAATTGTCGCCCTCAACGCCTTGTACCCTGGGACGCAGTACCCTCAAGGCCATGAGGTTGTTGCTAAAAATAACCCTCATGTTCCTGACCATGGAGTTCCTAATTAAACAAATAAACTTCCAGATGTTTCGATGTGGAAAAGACACAAAAGAGTCTATCTAAGACTCGAACACATTACTACTTATTAGTTCTTCTGGAGTACCAACGTTCACGTCCGTAAATATACCTTTATCGTGCTGTGCGCCTTCCCTGCTGCGACACTCGCAATCATTATCTTTGTCATATTAGTGTTGGGACAATAAGTCCGTTGTTGTATACACGCTGTAGCTACGTGTGTAAAATAAAGTTACTTAAAACACTAAAGGATCACATGACTATCGAGGAGGTGGCACGACACGGCCCCACCGCCTGATGCATAGTTTTTTGTACAGCAATTCAAGTGGCAATATCTCGAGGACCAGAAACTGTGTTCGCTGATATTTCGAATTTTGTATCAAGAGCACATGACCATGTAGGAAGTGGAACGCCAATGCCCTCCGTCGAGCGGTTCTCCTGATCTCAGCTCTTCTCGAGCTGAGGTTGTTCCAGAATAATTGAGGCTGGAGTATTTCGAATAATAAGAGCTATGTCGCACAGAAAATTCGTATTTTTTCTATTAGTTTACTTATCAATTAATTATTCTTTAAATCCAATTTATTTAATTATATGAAATTATTTTGCGCTATGTAAACTGGATTGTGTGTTGCGTAGTTCTTAGCTTGACATCGTTTTGTAAACTTTAATGTTTGGGAAACGATATCAATTACCAGGTCTCACCACGAGGAGGTGACTACGCGCGAGACCCGCGAGTTGATTGTTATAAATTAATATTTCCATCAATCCTGCATTTCTTGCATGATTTGGTATTCAAAAATTTATGTAAAGAATGGTTACGTAGTCAAAATCAATGTAAGCTGTAATTGTCGCTTGTGATTTCAGAGAGCCAAAGATATATATATTATATAACTATGTTTTCCATTTTTGTAAATAAAATAATTCAATTGTTATAAATGAATTATTCAAGCTATGAAGTAGTGCATAGATATACGGGAATTGAATCACTGATTTAATTATTAGAAAGTAATATTTAAAATTGTTTAATAATATTTAAAAATATCATACAAATTATTTATAGTTTTCATAATTCATTATAAAACTATTTATTATTTTATTTCTATAACATTTCTAAACATTATTTAATAATTTTCAGTTACTTCCCTATAACAATTAAGTTAATAAAAGTTAATTAAATTAATTGTTTCATTCAGGATTTCACGTCATATTTTTAAATTCGTTACACGAGTTGATTGTTATAAATTGTTATTAAAGTTATTAGCGCTGCAGTATAAAACCTGCCTGAATCGGTACGGCAGGACGTGACATAAAAATGATAAGGAGTTAGTGTGATCTGGAAGTGTGACAAGAAAATATGTTGTATGCGGGGTCTATTCATATACATCGTCTATGTCACAGTAATTGAATTATTTTGTTCGTTTTGGTGTAAATAATAATAGTAAATTTTTAATATTTTATGCTTGTACATACCTGTTGTGTTTTCTGAACGATTTTACATTACAGACACATGTGTGGTGTACATACACAGACGAAATATATAATCGAGTTTTCATGTTTTGTCGAACGTCTTTTTACACATATTTTTGTTGATGAAATATAAATTTTTTTTAGCATTTAATGTAGTAGGATCTAATGTATTATTTCCTTTCTTTGTGATCAGAACATATAACTAATGAATTGTTATACTGTTAATTACAAAAAGCGAACTGTCCTCCGTCATCTGTGCCGGTAGAATCACGCCAGAAAGATCCACGTTAAGTATATTTGCACGAAAACATTTCTGTCATTTAATATTTCTAAGAAACACATGTTGCATTATCAAAGATGAAGTTCAGGTGCAGAATGATGGATGTAATTGCAATGCGAGATTTTACTAGTAAGTTTAAAATTAAAAAAAACTGTTTCTAACCTTTCCTCATACTTATTACTGTGTGTAATTAAATATCGACGAAATATTACTACAATTACATTATTTATTGAGGACAGTTCAGCGATAATACAAATTTTTATATTGAGTCTGAGGAAGACGATTGACGTCAGACTGTCAGTAGTAACAGCGACATTAAAATAAACAATTCTATTTCAGACATAGTTAACGTTATTTCTCGAATAACGAAACAGTGTACCTTGCGGTTAACGCCTGACGAATTGTGCTTCAGCGTCAGCGTCGATCGAGCATCAATGGTTTGGGCTGAATTAACTCAGACTCATTTTTTCACGGAGTATATTATGAACGGTGTCTCTGAAGAACAGAACGAGATTTATTTGGAATTCGATCCTACTATGCTCGCCAAATCTCTAGGATCTTTACGAATGACCGCAAAGAGCGTTAAAATCAAATTAACAAACAAACGTCAACCGTGTCTCACGATAGAAATCGAGTTACCATCGTTAAGTTTAGAATCAAGGCAATGTTTGCACGATGTGCCTGTTAGAGTCATACCGCGACGCGAATGGGCCGAGCACCGGGCGCCAAATATTCCTCAATTTGATGTACGAACAATTCTCTTTGCTTGCTGTTTTACTCATAAAAGTATTCTTTAATTGTTGTTACCAGTTTTTAACAGCGCTTTCCTTTATATTTTATTTTCCTTTAGATTTCAGTTGATATGCCTCAACTTAAACACGTGAAACATATCGTGGAAAGGATGAAAAACATGAGTCCACGATTAACGTTGGAGGCCAGCAAAACTGGCGTATTTGCATTAAAAGTCGACACGGATAGCGCAACGGTGTCCACACATTTTCAGGAATTACAAGTTTGGAGTAGCAGTCAACGAAACCAGGAAGACAAAGTATCAGCTACTATAGACATTAAAAAGTTCTTCATGTTCCTAGCTTGGGACATAGTGCATCCTGATGGCGTGAAATGTAATATTGTTCAAGACAGGGTGGTTAACTTGTTTCTACATGTAGCAGATTATGTTAAAATACAGTATTTCTTACCCTCCGTGTTTACTTAACTCGTATAAACTTTAACAATAATGTTTTAAGACAATATAAATTCTTTATTTTTTTTTACACGTTTTTGAGTTTCTTTTCTTTTTTTTTTTAACGCATAAAAACAATCGCTGCAAAATGTACATTCCGCTCAAAAGCTTCAAATTGTACAATTATAAAAATTCAGTGACTGATTAATTATATGCTAAGCTGAAGCTTCGTTCGTTCTCTTGTCGGAAATTCTGATGCATTTGATCGATCTGTTGTATCTTTTGATTCAACAAAGTTGTTTGCTGATCTAGCCACTGTAAACTGTTCATATGGGCGTTTAATATTTTGCCAATTTGAACGATCGGATCACTGGAATCTTGAGTACGATTAGCTTGATTTAAGTGCTCGATGATTTCCTTCAAATCTTCTGACATTCGTTTTAATTGGGTATCAAGATCTTCCGCCAAACGGTACGTATATTCCCTTTCTGGATCAGACACTGAAAGAGATGCTAATTCTTTTTCTAGAGGTATTAAACAATCTTGCAACTCTTTCTGTTGGCCAACCTGCATTTGTAATTACATATTTACAATTTACAACTATAAACTTTATATTTTATATGTTATTTAATATACCGTAATAAGTAATACTTACAACATAATCCAATTCATGCTCCAATTGTTGCTGCTCGATTTTGACTCTTTCTACTTCTTGATTAAGTGCTACTATTTTCTCTCCATTACTTATAAGTAATTTATCCCAAGCGTTAACTTGTTCAGCTTGATTCACAAATACTTTCTCTTGTTCTTCTAATTCCATCGTCCACTTATTAATAGATTCTTCAAATGAATTTATAGAAGCAGGTTGAGGTTGAGTAGCAGATGAAGTAACACTATAATGTTTAATTTAATAAATGATCAAAATATTGTGTTATTAATTTAATATTGTAAAATGATAAAAAGATATACGTTGTAGTTGTTCCTAATGACACTTGAGTACTTGTGAGACTTGCTGTGGCAGCAGTTTGATTCAAAGAAAATCCAGCTGTGCTGGTTGAAGTCGTTCCTGTGCCAAAGGTAAAGCCTGTAACTGCAGATGTTGTGCTACTCACACCAGTTAAAGAAAAACCTACAAAGGCAATGAGCAAATATCATGAAACAAACGTATTTTATACGTGCATTATAAAACTATTTGAAATTATATACCTGATGCTGTTGTAGTTGCAGCCGTTGTAGTAGTTGCGATAGGCGTTGCAGAAAGATTAAATCCAGTTCCTGTTGCCAATGTATTCGGCGTGCCAAATGTTAGGCCAGTTGCAGCAGTGGATGCAGTAGTTTCACTACCACCCAAGGCAAATCCACCAGTAAGTGGCTTGGACGCAAAGGCTGATGTAGCTACCGTTGTTGTTGTGATTGTGGTAGTACCTCCTAAATTGAAATTCAGGGCACTTCCAACTGGTGCTGGTGCAGCGAATCCCGTGGATGTTATTAAGGTAGTTGCTGCAGGAGTTATCCCGGTACTGGCAGTTGTACCAGTACTAAATGTTAAACCAGTTTGTGAAACTGCAGTGCTTGCAGAAATAACAGCCGATGTTCCGAAAGTAAAGCTAGTACTCTGAATAGGAGTACTGCTCAATCCGGTGCCAAATACTCCACCGGGTTTACTTTGTGCTGGTGTAGAGGTAAGCGAGAATCCTGCTGGTTTCGCTGCATCTCCAGCGCCAGTAGCTCCAAATGTAAAGGCTAAAAGAAAAATTAGTTTACTGTAAAATAATAAAGCTTAATTGCACTTTTTGTTTATCATAAAATACCAAATGTACTTGTGGTTGGTGCAGTGCTCGTGGGAGTAGTGCTGGGCTGAGACTTTGGAGCATTGTACGTAAAACTCATTTTTATTCTTTATCTTTTTATTCCTGCAAGATATGTTCGAAATTATTTTATAAAAACGGCGATGGTTTTAAAAGAGTTCATTCGAAAACTTTATAAATAACTTTACAATTAACCTTATTCGCTCTAAACGTCATTGACTATGACAAGCGTTCAAAGGATAAAGAATTGACGCTTAAATCGAAAACAATAAATTACTATGAAATTCTTGTTAATTATATTATTATATTTTATTATTCACGTTCACATGAAACAGGGTCACTTCGAAAGCACGTTTCGCAGTTTCTAACAACAAGCAAGATTCAAGCAAAATAAGATACACTGTTGCTCTACGACGAATTTTAGGTTAATAGATGGCATCGTAGTGATGAGACGCTCATCGTGAATATTCTTTAAAATTCCAACGGACGTTAGTAGTGAGCGATATTTAAAAATCAAATCGGGAATTAATTTTATTGTTTATTGAATTTTCTAACTACGTCGACCAGCAAAAATTATCATTCAACATTTCATGTACATATACAGGATACTATCAAACAATTTAAAGATTAAACAAATTTAAATTTTTCCGATACCGAAAGAAGATTGAAATCTAGTTCACATAAATGTGAATGAGCAGAAGTGCGCGTGTAAAATCTACTTGCGTATTCATTAAAAAGTTTAATCGGTGTTACCAAACCTAACCTCAACTCACTGCATTAACTATTTTTTTTTTCTTCATATTAATGTACGATTGCCGTTGCACATATATATATATATATTCATTTCATGCTTGAAGATGTTCATTAAATCGCTGCTATCATCGTATGATCGTAAATCGTAAACGCGGCACAGCTGAATAGAGTGCACGCATTCGCATCTAGAATGTGAACATACATTTCCACGAGTTTCTAGCGGGCTAGTGCCTCGACGACTCATTTTGGATTGCTATCCGAGGTAAAGTTCGTTACTAAAGTTTTTAAAGGCAGAGCCTTGCGTGTACAGCCCACGCAACACAGTTCGCTCTGTGGGAGTTCTACGTGTTGGAAAACTAATCGTACGTACGCCTAATATTCGTCTCTTCTCAGAGCAAGCTCTCCAGCATTTTCTACGGGAGGTCTGCACGCGCCATGCAAAAGCAGTGTTGTGACCTATGTAGTTTGTGAATGCATACACGTGAGGCGCGAAAATTATACCGTGTGCATGTACATATTTCCGGTTTGTAAAGATTCGTGTATAACGAAACTGAACGAAACATGTCCATCGAGACACGAATTGTGTCTTAAATTAACCATTGCGTCAGTATATGTCTGTGAATAGAAAAAAAGCGCTTCCAAAGATAAAACTTCGAATTGGTGATTCGAAAGTACGGGGGATTCGTGATTGATTATATTCGAATTATTCAGTAGTGCAAATTATTCGATCATTCGTAGGAAGTAGTGCCATTTTATCACAACGGGGAAATCTTTTTTTCTTTCTTTTAACGAACGACTAAACCAGTTTCGAAATCGTGGCTAACTGACTGACGATAACTGACTGAAGATTATTCGAATAATATAATAAGATAAACGGCTGCGTTGCGGCTGGTTCTTCTCCTTAACGTATTAAAAGTATCATTTTCTCGAACACGCTTACACAGATTTCATTTTTGTCGATCTATCGTGCGATCAGAATGTCGGTAATCATTATATTGTACCTGTGTATGCATTTGGTGAATTTAATTCACGGTTCTACGCTGGTTGCTCCCCCTCTATCGGTGGTGGTTGTCGCTTTCGAAGATATATATGACTTATCATTACTGGCCAACTCCTTGTCGGATCAAGGGATCGATGCCACGTTGATCATACCGGCGTCCAGCAAGGGCGAACTTTATGAAACTTTAATCGACGTCGAAGTGCTCACAGTGAACGTCGAGGCCGAAGAATTTGCGATAACGACTCAAGCCTGCGAAGCATTATTGAAAGACGAAGAAATCGCGAGGAAAATACAGGAGATCCAACCAATCTTCGTTATATTTCCTGCATTCAGGTATAGTTTAATATTCTTATACTTACTTTCGTGAATGTATCGCGATGCAGTACCTCCAAATTTTTTCCGATATATAAATTTGTTTGTTTGCTTGCAGTATTTAGTCCTATATGATTCTCGTATTTAATATAAAAAATAATAAAAATTCACTGTATTTACAGTGTGTTGTATGTATATATTTCGAAAGTTGCGACACTCGCGATTTCAAGCCGCGAGCCGCCATTGATTATGATCCTATGAATTTTGGAAAGTATCAAAAGTAACTAGTTGATAGTTCAAAATTGATAAATACGTTTTTTGTAATTTCAGTGAGTTGCTTTGATTATGTTCTAATATCATTTTCTAATCATTCTGTGTACTTCCGACAGCCGGTTACCGAGTTGTAAAACAATGAGTCACAGAACCAACTGTTTTTTAACTCGAAAAGTTTTAAGTATCTCTTACAATTAGTCATCCTCGTCTTTTAATTTCAGCCTTTACGATTGAAAATCACGATCAAATAATAAATGATAGTGATGTTGTTGTACACATTAACTGTAAAAGTGTAATTTTACATGAAACATTATAAATTTATTTTGAAATATCAGCCTTAAGACACGGCATACGCATAGTAATTTTGCGAAATATTAACGAATATTTTCAAAAAATAAGAACCATTCAAAAATGAACTCGATAAATAAATAATAAATTTACTCGAAAAAAGCAGCATCGAGTTGATTTCCAGATCTGAGTTGTTACGAAACACCCTGTATAAGTAATAATAAACGAAGATTATAACATATTACGTTGAATAAAATTTTTGTTCAATTTTCCAGGCACGACGGATGTTTGCTACCGTGGGTAAAAACTATCGGATCTATTCCAGTGATATGGACGCGTAATCATGAAGAAGAGATATATGTTTTCGAATATTCCGGTGCCGCTTTTCCGGTTCAGAGTGCAGGATTTTGGACCAGGTTGCGGATGACTATCGCGAGGAGGTCAATATTCTCTACAGCTCGAGACGAATACGCAGCACATGCTCTCCGGATAGCGGGAAAATATTTGCCAGATACTGGTCTCAATTTAGATAATCTGTATGCTGATGTTCGCCTTATACTTTGGGGCGCTGATGCTATCCTACGCTTAGATTATGCACCGCTCACTCAGCTGATAGTGGAAGTGAGATATCAAAAATGAGTATTCTGATTCTATTTCCTGTTCTCTTGATCAGATATTTTTGGATGTTCAGTTCATTCGGTTACGCGTTTCATGATTAATCGTGATCAATTGGAGTTTAGAGTTTGGAGATTTGAAAATTAACAAATTTGGAATTAGAAGATTTAGAAGTTTGAGAAGACAGAAGTAAAGAATTTTATAAGTTTAAAAATCCATTAATGATTTGACGACACTTGATTCTATAATCATCGCTTTTAATTACAAATGTTGCGCCATGATATTGAAACTTAAATATTATGCGAGATTTATAAGTGGCTAGGGCAGTCATTTGGAAAATAAAAGATTCAGGTTCGAATCCCAGTTCAGCAACTTGATACCGTTAATCCTTTTCTTTTTTATCACATAACGTATTCCCTAATAATACCACGCAATATCCCACAACATCTTTAATTTATAGTTAAGAATTACGAAAGGAGAACGTTCTGTCAGCAATCTTTTTTATTGTAGATCGGCTGTCATCACTGCAGAGGGGCACATCCATTACAAAGTGACTTGCACAAGGGCCTGATCGAATATCGGCTGGGTACTATCGTGGCACTTCTGGATGAAAATTACGAGACGTTAATTAAAGAGCTTGCACAAAAATTGCCTCAAGGCAGGCAGGGTCAAGCAGTGGTTTGGAAGAATGTGAAATGGCAGAACTCAAATGATGCTCTGCCAGAGAATCTTTTTATTCGCTCGAAAATTGATCGACAAGACCTAATAGGTAAAAGAGTATACTGAAACCTTACTAATCTCCTACTAATAGGTTCTTGATTGAAGCTATAACTAATTGCCTGAACTCTTTCATTTTAAAGAATGTTATTTATGTATCATTTTTCTTCTTTTGATTTTTCTCATATTTCCTAAATGAACGAATAAGGAAACATTTTAATAAATTTGTTAATATCATATCACAACATTGTAGGGTATGGACGTACAAGAGTGGTGTTAAGTCACTGCGCAGACACAGAGCTCCTAGAAATCGCCTTCCATGGAACTCCAGTCATATGCTTTCCCAGAAATTCTAATGAATTTAAAAACGCTGCGCGAGCGGTACAGTTGGGCTTTGCACATTCCGCTGAAGAGATTAATATCTCGTCCAATGAAGAAGTAGCCAATATTGTGACTCAGATTCATGAAACCATGGACTACCGCGAAAACGCTAGAAAAGTATCTTTGGCCATTCGCGATAGAATAAATCCTGCTGTGGATAGATTAATTTATTGGCTGCGTTACATGGCCAGAGCGAAGGATGAGAACTTGAACTTCTTGGCTCCAATCAGACCAGCAAAAACCTTGAACGAAGATCTTCAGTTTTTCCTCGGTCTGTTTGTAGGTGCTATAGTTGGAATATTTTTGGCAGTAGGTTGCATGTTAGCGAGATATTTGATCGTATCTAAAAGAACGCAGAGATCAAAAGGAAGATATACACGATGAAAATACGATTGACTTGAGAGAGAAAAACATAAATAAATAACCGATGGGATGGATAATTACGGACATTTTTCGCATATGTATTTATATAAATGCACGTTGAGTACAGGTACATACAAATACAAATGTTACGAGCTAGGGTTTATCTCATTACTAAATGTAACTATTATGAGAATACTTGATCGATAAGATTGATTGATTGACTGATTGATTGATTGATTGATTGGGAAAAAGCTAGGAAATATGATGTGGCGTGTTATCGTCGACGAGGAGATAAAAATAAATTACAATTTGTGTACTGCGCTCTGTATGTCGTCTCGTTGCACGAGTGTTCGCTCGTGTGCGTTTATCGCCTAGATCCTTACAAACGTACGGACGAATCGGTACTTATAGTTCATTCGACTTTTTGTTCTCGTTCACACGTTCGCTCTCTTTCTCTCACGTTCTCTCTCTCTTTTAAGGCCATGTTCCTCTAATTAGATCAGCCGCCTTTGTTTATGTTGTTCCTACGAAAAATGATTTATTTAAGTTGTGAATATACAGAGTGTTTCATTTCATGTTCAAGTTACTGAAACATTGAGATTCAAATGAGACTTTAATGTTATTGATTTTTTTCTTTTCATTCTGCTTTTGTAATCAAAGACGTATTATGAGAATCGTTAGATTCACCTATACATGAAACATTCTAAACAGATGAAAGATATGAAAATAGAATCTTTTCATAATCTTTGTAGAGTAATTGGGAAACGTGTAGCAAGCTCACGAAACAGTTTGAAGATACAACTTAAACACAGCACCCTGTATATTCTTGTATCGTCGCCGTCGACACGTGTCATCAGAGATTTCGTGTTACCTCACATTGATTCAGAAAAAAAAAAGAGATCATCGCCACGTATTGAGATATGGGTATGAAATAAATCGATCTTCATGCAAAATGTTTGACATCTTTGTAAAAAA